CCTGCCAGCCCAGGTCCCGGAAGCTCACGTAGAGCTCGTGCTTCTTGCAGGCTTGCTTTTGCTCACTCGTATTATAATCTGAAGAGTTTTGAAAAAACACAGTTTAAACGAATAGCAGCATATCAGACATACGATGTTCGCAGCACTTTCGGGGTTACCGCGGAGACAGCAGGGAGCACGTGGCCTCGCCCTGCAGCCGCGCCCCGTCGTCCTCGCGCGTTTCCTCGTGGGCCTGCGGGCGTTGCGAGGACTCCGTCCGGCCTGTCGGGTCCGCTGCTGCTCTCAACGGCGCGCCGCCCCCGGCCTGCCCCGCCACCCTCAGCCCCGCAGCTCTCGCCCCTGCTGCTCCGCTGCAAAGCAGCCAGCGAGCCGTGGACGGGAAGAGCCGCCTGCGGAGGCCTGCCGCCGCGCAGGCATTCGTCGTCCTCGCAGCCCGGCCCAGCTCGGCTCGCCTTGGCCCCGCGTGCCTCTTCCTCCCTTCGCAGCTTGCTCTGGCTGTCCCACCCTCTTGCCGCCGCGCCGGCGCTGAGCTGGCTGTACCTTGGAGCCCCGACTTCCGCGGCCACTGCCTGAGACCTTCCTCCGCGCTCCCGGCTACACCCTCGGTCTCCACACCTGGCATCCGCGCATCTTCTCTGCCCCAGGAGGCTTCCGCTGAGCGCCCCCTGCGTAACCCTTCAGGACTCTGGATCCCTCTTATGCTGTTCTTTTCGCTTTCGTGTCTCTTACCGCCTCACTTTCCAAGGGCTGGGCCACCACTAGCCTAGGACATGCTCAGTTTCTTGCCTGCGTCCCACCACAGCAAGACTGTGTTTGTGTCATCTGGGTCACTGCTGTGTTCCAAAGGAGAGGGCTTGGCGCACTCCGCACAACACCCAGCGCACAGTGGAGTTAGTGAACAAATTTCTCATCATGTTCTATACACATACGATTAGAAGCAAAGGAAATGTACTATTCTTACTATGTATTTTGAAGCGTAATCTTAAATACTCTTAACTTTTGATAATTTTTAAAGGGTTAAGTGCAGAAACCCATTCTTGTACCTGGAATAAAATAAAATACAGAAGTAACACATACTAGTACAAAACAGTTTTCCATCTTTTTTCCTCTCAAATTTGTTTTCATTTCATGCAACTAAACATTTTACAAATCAACCCACTTTGGTTATTTCTGACATGAGTTATGAAGCAGGAAGATCACTGCAAAGAATTCTTAGGGACCATGCAGCTTGACTGCCCAATCTCTCCTTGCAAAGTGGGCATATCACAGGTCAAAGGAACATTTTACAGGGCCATGTCACCTGACATTCACTTACTTCACATTAATACTTGTCCACTGACAGTGTGGACAACAAGATAATACTAATTTTGAGCTCTAGAGGATTTTTCTTCTTGTAGATCATCCATTCCTATTAATTAGTGAATGCAAGTTGACAGAGATAAGTGTAGGGATCTGTTGATCTTACTGCAAACAAGGGCAGGAATGAGAAAAACCGGAAGACAAAAGCTGGGCTAGGTGGTTGCTAGTTGGCCTGATGTGCAAAACTAAGTCCACTCACAACAAAATAACCCTTTATTTATATTTTTGCAAAGTTTGTAACACATGACACAAGGGTGCCTAGCCACTAATAGCTGGCGTGAACCAGACGGTGTTTTCCTCGGGGCTGAGGTAGCTTGCTTGCTGCAGGCACTGAGGCCAGTCCTGCCTACACATATTTGATCAATTTCCTAGGGTCCTGCTGCTCCCAACAGATAAGGGAGCAATGCTAGGAGAGACTTAGCACCTTGCTACTGCAGGGCGATGCCCCACCCTGAGTTGCTGACGAGGTAAGAACTAACCTCCGTCGGGCAGTGGACGGGGCAATCTAATGCTGAATATGGAATGCATGAGCATCATAAAAAGCCATAAACTTTATGTCTGGTTATTCAAATTCTATGCTTATTTGCAAAACAAATTAAAACTTTAAAGGTCCATATGAATCTGTTCCATCCATGGAGATTGGATGCCAGCTGAATGACCTATGTAATACAACATCACACAGGGGAAGAAGCAAGGAAATTTATAGCAGAATCCTGCGTCTGCAAGTATGGGTTCACAGAGCCTTAGGACCACACGCTTCCCAAGTCAGAGATCCAAATGAATGGATGCTGGGGAAGCCCATGTTGTGGGCAAAGACTGAAGCTGGATTTCCTAGCAACCACTGGCAGAAACACCTGTGGAAGCAGCACAAGGGGATTAGATGGAGTTTTTCAAAATATTGATCCTTAGCCCATGGAAGATGAAAATGAGGTGGATATAATTCTCCTGTTGATAAACTGACGCATATACGAGCGAGGTCAGACCAGAAATCATATGACTATTCTGGGGTCACTGTCAACAGGGGAGAGGGTGACTGAGGTGCCTCCACCATGCTTCTGTTTTGCCTTGTAATGTGGGAAAATATTTTTGAAATACTGATCACTTTTTGGTGGAATCAGGGATTGAACTCGGGCCCTTGCACTTGCCAGGGAAGTGCTTACTCCACTGAGCCATCTCCCCAGCCCCCCTGATCGCTTTTTGAATATTGTATACAAATATCTTTATAAACAATTTCAAGACTTAAACTTCGGATCTGCCTGCCTCTGCCTCCCAGAGTGGTGGGATTATGAACATGTACAACCTGCCTGGCCAGTTGAGTTGCATTCAAATTAATCATTTTATCTTAGAAACAGTTATGAAAAAAACCTTACAAACTATGTAAACATAAAATTTTTTTAAAAAATCTAGGGGCTTGGGAGATGGCTCAGTGGAATAAGTGCTTCTCTGGCAAGCACAAGGGCCTGAGTTCAATCCCTGGTTCCAAAAAAAAAAAAAAAAAAAAAAAAAAAAAAAAAAAAACCTAAGTTCTTCAGAGACTTTAAATGCTATTCACAGGCTGGCCAGATAGCTCAGAAGACTAAAGCACCTGCTTAGGCCGAGCACAGCAGCTGGGGTTCAGTCCCTGTTGTGCCGCGCCAGCTAGCGATTGAGGCAGGGCGTGGGGCTGCACTCCTGTAATCCCAGTCTTTCCAAAGCTGAAAACCGGCAGATCACTAGGAATCTGATCTCTGTAGTGAGACCCTATAGACCCTGTAGACTCTGTACTAAATACATAATAAATAAATAAATAAATAAATAAATAAATAAATAAATGGTGTTCACACCAAGGTTTCCCTTGCCTGAGAAAACAAATGAACAGGCTAACCTGCCCATGAAGAGGACAACAGAAAAACAATAAAGAACACTGCCTTTAGCAGTACTGGTTTCAAGGTAGTACTCAGTTCTTTAAGAGGTGGCATGGATAGATAGATATCTATCTGAATAGATGGATAGACACATCCAAAATATAATTTAATGTTTAAGCATGACAACTTAAATTAGCTAAATGTGTGGTAAGATACCTCTGCTTCAAAGCAAGAGATGCTGAATTTCTCACTCTTAATTTCCAAAGGAAAGGGGTAAAGGAAGTCGGTACGTACAATCCCAGACCAGAAGACTAATTTGTACATATAAAATGAGAAATTATTAACAGAAGTGTAATAGGCTCAACAAATGGGAAGCAATGACACTACGATAGACTATTCACCAATGAAGCTGGATATGGGATTGATGGTAGAGAAGCTGTGACTCAACTCCCAAGTCAGTAACAGTCCTATCCAAAGATACGGGACTTAAACATACTGTCGCTCCCTAGTTTAATCACTAACTTCCCATAACTACACTCCAAAATTATCCACTTGATGTACACACTCTGAAGGAACTGACAAGATTATCCACATAGGCATGTCTGAGTTTGCAGAGACACCTCCAAGATGCGCTGTGGGTGTGTGTCCTCCATAACAGCAAAGGAGCCCGTGCATGCCGCAGAAGCATCTGCTCTCGGAGCCCACCGCTACGTCCGTTAGCCACACCTTCAGCTTCCAGCTGCCTCATAAGCATCTCCAGGTGAGCATCTCCCAGCTGCATCCCACAGTTTCTACATCCGATCTCATGTCATTCTGTTGCTTTCAATTTTTATTAATAAAATCACTGTTCATTTGAGTAGCCAATGGCAGAAAAAGGTATTGCACTTCTTGGTTTCTTTCTTCCTCTTCAGATTCTACAGCAAATGGATCCATGTGTCCCTATCAGTGGGCCCTTTTCAGTATGATAGCCGAGAGCCCATAGGTCACCCTCTGTACCCTCGGTTGCACCACCTTTCCACAGCACCCTCCCCTGGTCACTTTGAAAACCAAAAGGATCCTCCTATTCCTGTCCTCCTGTACCTCCAACTCTTGAATCTTACTCTGTAATTTCTCCTCCACATAATTTCCATGCATAGGGCTGGAGAGATAGCTCAGTGGTCTAAGCACCAACCTGGCAAGCACAAAGACCTGGGTTCAATCCCCAGTACCGCACGTTGTGCCATTGCTGGAACCCTTGGCTCACAGTGCTGGCCACCAAAACTGTGCGTGGTGAAGCATGCCTATAATCCCAGCACTGCGGAGGCTAAGAAAGGAGGAAGACTATGAGTCTGAGCTGCGCAGTGAAACCCTGTATCAAGTAAATACATAAATAATTAAAAATACTTTCCATCCATGCACCAGCTGGTCAATACTATGCACAGTCCTATAACTGTGTATGCCACTCTGAACTGGACTCTTCCACCCACCCTGCCCAGTTCTGGAAAATGTCTATTTTTTCTCAGATAGGCACAAAAAGTCATTCTTATCCAAGATTATACAGCAGTGTGTATCCAGTGTTAAATAATAGATAGATAATAGATAGGTAAAGATAAAGCAGAGCTAGGTCACTCCGTATTACCAGCACAAACAAATTGTCTTAGGAGAGACTTCCAAAATTTTTCATCACTCAAACAAAGATATTGACTATTAATGTCAGTTTTTATTCAAATATTTGAATCAGAGACATTTTCGCCTTTGTGATACAAGCAGAGCTCGATTTTGCAATGCAGAATTGATTTCTAGAAGCTCAATTGCAAAATGACCAAATGTCTGTCAGGAATGATGCGATTTAATAAGCTCATTCTACTGCCATTAAAGATACTGCAATATTTAAAAAGAATGAAGTCATTACATTTGAACAATAAGACATTTTTGAAAGCACATAAAATATAAAATTGATGCAATTAAATGCACATAACAAAATTATATTCTCTCAAAAGAGATGCATATATGGAGAAAAAAGTTTCGAAGTGCACATATCAGTTGATATCAGTGCAGTGGGGTAATACATCTCTTTATGACTTTATTATTTTTAAACACTAAGCATGCTTATTAATTCATTACTTTTTTTTGAAAAAATAACTCCAGTTGTTTAAGTCCAGTTCAAAACTCTCTTTTCTTGTTTTGTTTAACATCAGTTGCTCCCACAGGCCTGGCATGCCTGCCAGAGGTGAGATTAAGGGCTGGACATCTCAATCTGGTTAATTATGAGCATCTTACCCTGAGAAGCTGCCCTGGATTTAGCCAGGGCCACCACCTGGGGCATACTCTTTCCAAGGGCCCTACAACTAAGCAGGTAGCAGAGCTGCTGGCCTTTCTTCTGTGAGCCAAGCCTTGCCATTTTTCTTGTTTGTTCTTCCAGAATCTTAATGCACTTTGCTTTAGCATTTGGTACAGCCCTCGGAACATCATGCTTCATGGGCTCTTTTAAAAAGACTCTTCAGCCATAATGTCTCTATGTCTTAAAAGACTAGTTAGCTTATAATTGAACTGTTGCCTTCACCTCTTTCTCCTGCATAATGAAATTTCAGAGAGATCTCCACTGTGCAAACCCCCCACAAAATACTCATCTCCCGCAATATGCCAGCTCAGATTTCTTGCCAAAACGCAGGAGAGGAACAGGGGTTGAGCTGAGCTGGGAGCAGCTTCTAGGCAAACCCCGAGCAGTGGCTCTGTCCACATGCACTGAAAAGAGAGAGCTAAATTCCCTGTGATCAGCACAGTGGCTTATTCAGCAGGGATCTGTAGTGGCCCAGTGCGTGGGGCACACTGTCAGGGGCCTCATGTGAAACTGCCAGAGAGAAAAAGGACACGGAGAAGTCTGAAGGCAGGAATCTTTGAAACAGGAAAAGTAGGGCAACATTGGCAAGAATGACCTGGATTTCAGTTCTCCTGCACATTGCTCTTTTGACACTTCCCACATTTGTTGATAGGTTTCGAAAAAAAAAAAAAAAAAAGAAAGAAAGAAATGCAACAAAGCAAACACGTAATGACTTCCATGCTGGCACTCCCAGCCAGACCATACAGAGTTTCACCCTAACAACGCAGCACTATCATAGAGTTTATTATTTATATTTTAAAATTTTAAAATTTCCTTGACACTTCAAGTCTCTTATGTATCAAATTTTCTGTTTATATTAACATTCCCTTTTCTTAAAGCCCTGTCTTTTAAGCCAAATCCTAAGAGGCTTTTCCCAGTCTGCTTGATTGCTACCTATTGAAAGGTTAGGTCTCAGAGACAAACCAGCTACTTTTTTTCTTTTTATTATCAAAATATGAACATGTTCCAAAACCATCTACCACATATTTCACAGAAACAGATGCCAATGACAAACTTTTAAAAAGAAAATATTGGTCTATATTAGAAAAATTTCATACTTTAAATGGTGTTAGGAAACTGGTGAAAAGTTACATGATTTCTGTTCCATGTGTTTTATTCATCTATGGTTACAGAAGTACATTTGTTACTTGTGGTCAGGAGGAAAAGATAAATAGAGCTAACCAATAGGGAAAAGAACTTTGATGATTTCGGCTGCTTGAGCACCTCTGCCAAAGTAATTATGACCTCTCATAAGGAGACTTATAATTTTCCTTTTGTAATTCCCTCAAAAATTATTTACTGTTCTATTCAAAGTTCACCAAGCCCTTTTCTTAATGTAGTCTGCTACGTTAAATTAAAAACATTTCAACCAAATTCAGTCATTCTACATGAAAAGAAAAATACACAACTATGACAGGCTAATATTTACAAAGAATAAATAGTCTTTAAGTTATTTTTCTTCATCTTCATATTAAGCAATTAAAACTTTTTGCCAACCAAAATATGTTGTGAATATAATTACAAAATAAGCACTAGTATCATCATTCACTTTAAGTGAAAAAGCAGCTAAGTGTCTTTGATTTAAAAAATCACCTCAAAACATAATCTTATACATAGAATTTAGTTCAGTGGAATATAATTTCATGTGGGATTCTTCCCTTCAATTCTTTTGTTAGAAACACCTCAAAATACCTGTCCCTAACAGTATTCTCTGGTGCCCACTCTTATGGAAGCTGTAATGGATCTATTTAGCATTTCACTGAGAATCTCAGGTATAAATTTACCCCCTCCAAAAAATTAAAGTTTTTTGTGTTTGTTTCATTTGCAATCATCTACTTTTTAAAAAATGCTCAAATATAGGGTCAGTCTGATAGCTCAGCAGACTAAAGTGCCTGCTTAGGCAGAGCACAGGGGTCAGGGTTTGATGCCCCGTGTGCGGCACTAGCCCCACCCCCAGGGCGTTTTAAGATGGTGATTGAGACTGGGCGTGGTGGTGCGTGCCTGTAAAACCAGCGCTTTGGAGGCTGAACACAGGAGAATCACTACAAGTCCGATCTTCATAGTGAGACCCTGTAGACCTTGCCCTAAATAGAGAAAATAAATTCTCAAATATATTCTAATAATAAATAACTTCTTATGACGTCATTTTCAAAGTAAACTGAGAGAGCTGAAGATGTTAGGGATAATGCTAGCTGCAATTTGAAAGTAAAATTCTAGTTGGTGAAGTTCCACACATAGGAGTCCTGTCTGCTCTATGTATCCACTTGGCCACTGTACCTGGCAGGTAGCCTGAACGTGCTAACAAGAGAACCAAAGAGTGTACACCACACAAGCACACAGCCATGCTGTGCTGAGCTGGAATATTCTAGAATCAGGACCCCATGTCAAGTCAATGTTTTATAGATAAAAATAATTTATTGGAATAATATAACTATCATTTTCATCTAAAAACAGCTTGTTTTCACTCTAGACTAAACAAGATCCTTCCCAATATAAATACTATGATTAAACTCACTTCAGATTTTGGCAGTTATATGCTTTCTGGTTAATTGTGATTTTATCTTCTTTTATATCAAAAAGTAGACTCAAGCCTAAGTAAGCTGACATCAGCTGTGTGTTTACATTGTTTTATTGAAAGATTTCATGTGTACACGTGTAGATTCACACCCAAGAGGTGATCCAAACAGTGATCCTGAAGGTAATTCATGGAAATAGAAATATTTCCCCAATTCTCATCCATCTCTCCTGCTTCTTTCAGAAAGGATTTTCAGAAAAGATGTGAGCTGCAAGAGTCACATTTCAGTACTAAAGAAAGGCCTTCCTGCAGACTTTACCCGGTGCGCTGCTCACACTGAGAGGCCTCAGGGAAGCTGGCTCCGAAGTTGCGCTGTTCCGCTGCGGCCAGATTTGCTGGCCCGCCCATTTCATCATTTTATTGCTGCCAGCCTGATTTTAATTTGAACGGAATCTTTCAACATATGAAAGCAAGTCAGACTGATTTCCAAATGAATTACTGAGTGATTCACTGATGGAGCATTCTGGAGTGCTGGAAACATCCCGAGAAGATTGATACCCCCAGGGAAGGCGCACAGAAAGGGCAAACTTATGGTGGCAACTTGATTCGCAGCATGCGACCCCTAACTCTGCACAGCTCCACTCTCGTTTTCCTCTTACCTCCAGCACCGGACATCCTGGAGGAGTCCTGATGAGAGCTGGATTTATTGCGGTTTTGATGTTTCCGTTTGCTGGCCGCTCTCACGGATCGAAGGAGAACCTCGCTTGCCTTGAAGAAGGCCACCATGAATGGCTGTTTGGACTGAGGCCCATGTCTTCCGACAAGCCCAGCGGATTTCACGTTGATACTGCGTCCTGGAATGTAGCACGTAAGAACTTGGTTTGTGAAAAACTGACAGACTTTACCTGACATGAATCAATTCTGAGGACACTTGCAAAGGGAAAACATTTTAAAACATCATCAGAATCTTTTCTCCACAGGGTGAGGTCATGTGACCCTGTCGGTTACTGCTGCAGGAAAGGGCCCGCCCTTAGCTTTGCGTTTCCCGCGGTTCTTCCTCCACGAGAAGAGCGTCTAGCTGTGGTCACACCCAGGTGTTTTCTCATGCCAGGAAGCCGGGGACACTGCAGCGGGAGGGCTGGACGATGACAACCCACCAGCCTGCGAAGCCCACATCACATAACAATGCGGAAGAACCGTAGTGCCCATCAACTTCTACCTACTAAGTGCCTCCCAGTGCTGCTCTGAGTGATAACCGCAGTGTTGGAAAGGGTGTTTTTACGTTCCCCAGTCTGTCCTAGCACTTTAAGGCTTAATTAGCCTTCTGCTTTCTCCTCTGACTGCCCTTATGAATTCTAGCTCTTCTGGAAGACTAGGCTAGATCTAGAGGCTTGCTGTAAGCTCTGTTTTGTAAACATTATGGAATATTTTGAAATAAACATTGAACTTTCAGAGTTCCTCTACCTCTAAGTTTCAAGTCTGGAGACTTTCAGAAAAGGAAATTTCCAGGTGAGTGTGAAGATCCATGTCTGCTTATATTATCTTTAACTATTATCTTTAACTCATATTGGTTTGTGAACATAGCCATGCATCTGAGAACAGGGGTGCAAACAGGGCCTGTGTAGGGTGCAATTGAAAGGCAAGGTGCCCCGGGAGCAGGAGACTGATGGTAATGAAGACATCCTCCCACCAGGGTGCTAATAACCATACTTGTCAACATGGCCTGGCCAGATATATTTGCAGATATGTGTGCTTGATAGGTATATGCCTGGCAGTTCTCTAAGTGGCTGCAAGGCATCGATTGGTACACTTCCACAGCAGCAGGTATTACTATTCCCCTTTTTTATATTAAACTTTTAATAGGTTCTTCTAATTTTAAATAATTGTTGCTTAAAATTATATATAGCATACCATATGCAAATAAATATTAAATAATATGTAACTGTATGTTATATCACATTATACATAGTGTATCTACAACTATAGTGTATCTACAAACTACTGACTGATATCTGGTTCCACAGAAAGCACCCAAGAGGTGAATAGCTTAACCTTAAGTTGTAAGTTTAGTTGAAAATTATTGAAAAGTTATGCAAAGTTTTTACTCTAGATATTGAAGTTACCAAGCCTGTAAGAGTAGTATATGGTGTGGTTTGAAATATGGACATGACTGACTCTGGTTTGCCCCCTGAGAAATATGCATGTTTTCTTAAAATATTTATCCAGTAAAGACCATGGATCAACCTCAGTCTGTCATAAGACCTGAACCTTCTTAGAAGAAATAAAAAGAAAACAAGGTGCTGAAACAGCATCAGTGGCATTTCAGCAAATAGACCTTTGCTCTTCACGGAGTTGATTTTGCCAGCACAAACACTCTTGTGCACGCTTGCATTGTGCAGAGACCTTCTCACTTCAGAATACTAGACCGCATAGTGTGAGGCTGCACAGCTGTTGGGAAGGATACAGAGGCCTTAAGTGTGAAGATACTGGTTTTAAAAAAAGTCTGCACCATTCAGGCACCACTGGTGCCTCAACAATTATTCTACAACATACCAGGGAAACCTGTCTAGTTCATGCAGTACTGGAATGCCCATCTGCCTCTCAGATATCACTGTGCTCACTCCTACCAGAAAAGGGCTTACAAATAATCAAAGCAGTAAACCTTAAACAAATAAGCATATAGATTTCTCTTTTAAGTTAAACTCACAATGGCTCTGTGCCAGAGACTATATTTCTTAGAAAAACTCAATCACTGGCATAAATGAAAGAGGCAGTTTGCTTTGAGCCCGAGCAGTTTCCATTCTATTTCCACTGCAACAAATGTATTAATTCAGCTCGGACTTCCTGCTTCTGGCAGCTCTTCTGCTGCAGAAAGAGAAATTAGAGGTTCCAGCCAAATGCCATACCTGGACTGACCCACTTCAATACATAAACACTTTTACAATGTGTTTATTCAGGTGCAGCACTTGAAATTGGTTTAAGATGCTTCCAGTGACAGAGAGCTCAGCAAAAGAAAGGGTGTTAGTGGAAGAGCCAAGAAATTTAACTGTTGTGGAATAAAATAAATCTGCTCTTCAAATTCTGACTTTCGTAGCCTTGGAACACAACATAAAAAGTATTTGTTGAAGCTTTTTATTTTGATATTTTAATGAAGTGTTAATTTAACAGAAACTAAATTTTTACTTGTGTACATTGATGACTGTAGAGACCACTTTAATGTATGAACTTTCTAATATGGAAATAAGTTTCTGCAAGGTGTTCATATACAGAATGTAAAAAAAAATCACTTTTCCATTCATTACAGTATGCACTGGCCCCTTCATAGTTAATACGGACTTCTCCAGCTTTGCTTTGGTCGGCAAGAAGGCTATTTTGAGCGCTTTCCAAGGGCCCGCTATTTGAATGTTTGTCTGCGGAGATATAATGCTGCGGTGAAGACTTGCACTGTGGAAGCTGCAGGGTCGGGTGCGCTACAAACGCGGCCCCGGGGCTTTCACAGAGGCGGTTGTTGTCTGTGGGGCAGAGACGCGTCACATCAAAGTGAATTCCGTTTAAAATAACTTTTAGTATGAAGTTTCCTTCTGGCTTCTGTCTCACTATGGTGGCGCAGCAGCCATCAGGGTTTGCTCAGTTGCCTCGGCCGTGATCCACATCCTGCAACCACCAACACCAAAAGGCCCAGCCGACCACGCTGCCCAAGCCGCTCGGTGCCTCCCAGTGTTTTGGTCCAAAATGCGGACAGAACCCCAAACTCTACTGCGTGCCCTGAAAGTAGTGAGTTCTTTATAAAGCTGCATTTGAACATTATGAATTTTATTATTAAGTGTGCAGTAGGTTGCAGGTAGTGTTATGCATGTATAATTAAAGAAGACTACAACATTTTTTTTCAGGAAAATTATATGTCTCTTTCACCTTGGAATTACTTTTTAAAGCCAATCCTTCTTCTTGAGTGTTTTCTAGTTTAGATAACTAAACAGTAGGTGGGCAGATAGACAGATCAATGGTAGTAAAGAGGCTGCTGAGGAAAGCGAGAATGGAGGCGGGGTGCCAGAGGTTTTCTGGGAGCTGTGCAGGCTTAAATGCACTGTGTGGCCCCGCACAAAGGAAGGTGCGGACAGTGAAGCGGACATTGGAAAGGCACTGTGAAGAAGGCTCCAGTGTCCCAGGGAGCCCCTGGTGGCAGCAAGCCCCGAAAGAGCACAGTGTGCGCTCAGAGACCCCATCTGCGCGTGAGACGGAAGCTTGCGTCATGAAGTGCCAGGGAAAATGAAAAAGTTAGGCGAGTCCAGTGTTTGGTACTGATGAAGGTATTGCCATTTTGTTTTGTGACAAGAATGCCCATTGAATCTTCGCATATGAAGAGCATTTCAGAACTAGTCATATCCTGCCCAAACCGCTTTTACCTCAAAAGTGTTACGCAGACACCATGCTAAGAGAATGTACATGTGTAGACACAGAACTTCTTGATTTTATTAGCAAGTATAAATAAAAATAAGTTCTGGTTGCTTCCTTCTAAAGAAAGTTCTGCTCTTTGCACAGAAGAAGGAAGCAGAGTGAGGGCAGAACGAAGTAAGAAGCGAAGACAGTGAGTCCCCGACGTCGAAGGAATGTTCGAGCTGCGAACCTTCGTAGATGCATTGGACTGCACAGTACTTAGACTAAACTCAGAGCAGTAGCCCAGGTGTCGGCAAGGCCTCGCCGCAGCCGAGCTGCTGTGTGCCCCGTGCGGTGAGGCAGTGCACCGCAGCGCAGGGCTCCCTCGGAGTGCAGGACGCCGGAGCAGAAGAGTTGCGGGGCGGAGAGCTCGCTTCCTGACATCGCAGTGCCATCGTGTCGAAGGTGTGTAAGACCCGCTTTGCTGGACTTGCGGACACTGTTTGCCCAAAACTGAACTTACTCCTAAATTGGGGATGTACTGTATGCAGGGGCAGAACTCTGATCTACTAAATTTTTCATGAGTGAGGCCCAGATTCCAGACTTCCTGTCTTGCCACTTTTACTTTCATGCTTTTGGGTAACTACTAAGGGTACAACATTGTAGTCAAATTTGCCAGGATATACCTGCATTATTGCAAATGCGTAGCCACAGTGAAGGCAGGCTTGTGAACTAAGTCAGAATCACACTTACGTACATTTCAGACCATTTCTTTTGGAAAATGTGTCATTCAAAATGTTTATTTCTTTAAAAACAAAGTTATTAAAGGAGAATCTAACATAAAACAGCTCTTTAGACTCATGTTGATGTTATGAGGCTAAGTGGCCCCAATGTGAGCATTTAGTTTTCCTCTAAGATACACAGTTTGAAAATCGCTCATTTGAGGATTTATCAGAGTCTAAATGTTGATATCAGTCAACATTTAGCATAAATCCAGTTTGTAGTTTTCCTCCCAAAACCCACAGCGGTGCACTGCCTGACCCAAACACCAGTGATGAAACCTGAATTCCGTCCGAGCGCGCGGACTGCCTTCCTGCAAGAACGAAGGTGGACGCGGTGCAGACCATCGGACACTTCTCGCGTCTACTCCAGCTCGGCGCACTTGCAGCGCACGGTTCAATTTGATTCTAGTGCTCTTAAATTACAGATTCTGGGCCTCTAAATTATACTGGAATTTTACCATTTTGGGAAACAGATCATTCAAAATGTGAAGAATTCTCTGCCTAGCATGTAGACTAGATCATGTTCTATCAGATTTTAAGGAATGTAGAGAAAACAGAATTTTGTGTATGGAGATTCAACATAGACTTTAACTTACATAGGTTTCAATTAAACACGCTGTGTCCTATTTACAAATTTCAACTTTGTTATTCTTTCGTGGAAATTGGCATAGCTTTCAGTTTTATAGTAGAAGGAGGAC